GACATGAAGCAAACAACCATATATAAGCTTGAATGCATGTAATGCATTATCGCCCTCTTTCTTTTGACCTGCTTAAATTTATTTCGGGAACTATTTTCTAGATGTATAGCCACTGTATGCTTAAATGAGAAAAATTTTGTCCGTACTTCTTAAAACTTTTCCTGACTTCATGCAGTCTAGGCAAAAGACACTGGCAGATCTACAGCAAATGCAGTCGGTGCATGTAAGCCAAACTTATTAAAATTACTGACTTCCTATTTAATGATGCTGTTCTAGTCCATTATTTTTCCACCATTTATCATGGATGTCATGAAGATAGAGTTTGAAGGCTATCAAAAACTGTGGATAAGTTTATAATCTATTACTGCTGGTTCATGACATTTACATATTCTTTTCATCTGAGTTAGTATGTTTCTTCCAAACTTTTTTCATGATATAGCAGCTATGCACTTCTATTCCCTAGGGGCTGGTTGCAGACCATCCAAGGACATGATACCAGAAAAGATATGTAGATTAAAAGAAAATAACTAATGGCAGTGAATGAGGAACCCTACTTGTATGATTATGTTTCTAAAGTAATTTATCTGCTTCAAAGAGTAACCTTCATGTTAGTATATCTAAATCTATCGAATCTGCGAAATGTGGCAATAACACTCATCAAGTACAAACTTTCAAGACGAGTGTACCTGGTTGAAAATTTATTGGGATTTTTAAATGCCTTCCATGTAAACATGATGTTACTATGTTGCACAGTATTTTTGTATTTTGGTGATAATCTGATATTATTGAAGCATTTCATGGTTTAAGGTGAAAAATGACTCAAAATCACCAATTCCCCCTGCCACAAATATTAAAAATACCAAATAATATTAATAATATAAAAAATTACAAGATAGAGAAGACAAGAGCGAAAGATGAAGGGAGAGGAAGTAAGGTGAATATTTTTGTTCCCTCCAACTTGATAGTGTTTTATCTTGCTTTAGACTATCATTTGTTTTTTAGTTTATGGGTAGTGCTTATGATTACGTGTCAATGTAGCTTGAGAAGCTGAGTGACATACAGTGCCAACCTGAGTCACAGCTGAAGTTCATCACTGAGGCATGGCTACAGGTAATTTCATAATTTGCTTGGGTTGATAGCTACATACAGCTTTAGCTCATTGTTGCTGCTCTACTTGTGTAGATAGTAGAATGTAGGAGAGTTTTGAAATGGACGTATGCTTATGGATATTATTTACCAGAACACGAACATGCTAAAAGACAGTTCTTTGAATACTTGCAAGGTAATATCTCTCCATCTATAAGCTATGGCTTTATATTGCTGTTCACTTTACGCTAATGCCCTGTATGTCTTGCAGGTGAGGCTGAGTCTGGGTTAGAACGACTTCATCAATGTGCAGAGAAGGAGCTGCAGGTTTATCTCAATGCAGAGGGCCCTTCAAAAGATTTTAATGAGTTTCGCACAAAACTTGCTGGATTGACAAGGTAATTTTCATTTAAAATATATTTTCCATCTAAATTCTTTATGAAACTCAATATGAAGTAGAATTTGATAATCTCTGAAGTTTTATTAAAGAGATTGTCCGTTCAAAAGCTTGGTTTGTTGTGGAAAGAATCTATGGTGTAGGAAAGAGATGGTTATCTTTTAATTAAACCTTTTAGAAAAGTGTTTTATCCTATCCTCTTGATAATCTATGAAGTTTTATTAAAGAGATTGTTGGTTCAAAAGCTTGGTTTGTTGTGGAAAGAATCTATGGTGTTGGAAAGAGATGATTATCTTTTAACTAAACCTTTCAGATAAGTGTTTTATCCTATCCTTTGCTTTTTCGGAGACTTGGCATGCCATTTTTTATCTAATTAATTATTATATGAACTTCATGACAACAGTGTGACACGAAATTACTTTGAGAATTTAGTTCGAGCTCTAGAAAATGGTCTATCAGATGTCGATTCTCGTGGAGCCTGCAGCAGGATGGGGAGCGCAAAGAACTTGGGAGGTGGTAGCAGTAGGGGAAGAAGTGGGAAGGGCAAAGGTTCAACCTCCAAATCCAGTGGCTCTAGCAGAAATATTGACGATTCTGGCCATTGGTCCTGTGAATATTGCACCTTTGCAAATGTCAAGTCAGCCACCATTTGCCAAATGTGCCAGCAGCGTAGATAAATTTTCATGACCTACACCAGATTTATCTGCCTGGATGAACGGGCATCGGCTTTGCCTCTTGATGTCTGGTTGCCAAGGCATAGGCCTTTAGAGCATTGCCAAAGGGAGAAAAAATGTTTTCCATTGCTCTTTCCATCTCTTAAATCAAATTTGCCATGATACAGCGCTGCAGAATTGAGAAACGGATGGTGGGAGAAGGGGGAAAGAGAGTTCACTGTATGTTTATGTTGTTGTTGCCACGTGTGAGCTGTGTATAGTACTTGTCTCTAGGTCCAACCCTTCAACTTGACTTGTTCCAAGTGGTAGCCGTCTTTCCATTGTATTCATAAGTAATTTCTACGGTTATAATTTACCCATAAAAAGAAAAAAGATTTGTAGCAAGGTTGAGGTTTTAGGTGGATTGCAACAAAACTGCTTGCGGAAGATAGGCTGCTCTGGCCCTCTGCAAGAATAAATATATTGTTGTAACCTCTTGATCTAGGTACCCAATTCCCCACGTGCTTGAATGTATGCAATGGTCATTATCTTTTGATTCGCGAGAGATCAGCAAATATATATAAATATATATATATATATTTTTTTTTTGGTCGCTTCCCATTGTTGGGTTATGTATTCTTCTTTGGTACTTGCATATTTGCAAGATTGCAGATTGGTCGTTGGTCTTTTGTCGTGTGAACATTATAAACCTTTAGTTTTCATGAATCTCAGAGTCTATTCGAGTGATTTTGTGGATTTTGATTCGCATTTTTCATTTTCCAGCGAGCGTTCTAAGGCTTCCCGAAAATGCCAAACGAAGAACTGAATTTTAAAGAAAATCCAAAACTTTAAAGCAGACGTTATATAATTTTCTCAGAAAGGAAAAAGATAAAAAAAAAAAAGAACCTTTGCACAGGATAACATCACCATAGACTCCTCATGGAAAAGGTGATAAATCGCTGGCAAATAGCATCAATGATCATTCAGTTAGGCTACCGTGTCCATTATGATCCGTGACAAATTTCTATTTAAGTAAGATTAGATACTTGGATATCGTGCAAGTATTTTACGAAACAGTTTGTCAGTGATGACTATAATGCGACCCATTTCATTACGGTCAAAGTGCGATCTTTCCCTACAATTATATTCGTCTTTTATTTTGAGCTCTTAAATTATTACTGATATTTTATATTTGCCCTTTCTTAACTTTTAAATTATTGCTGATAGTTGGATAATGAAAATAAAATATGACCCAAAAAGATGAGGTACGCATTCCAAAACAATCTTATATAATCAAATTACAAAATTTTTTTGAAACTTTTCTCCTCATTTTGAGATTTTTATTTTTTGAAAGACATCTATATACCAGCCCGCAAGGGCTATGAGTATGACGTGTTTTATTTTTTTTTAATAATAGTTGTTTTTTAACAGTGTCTTTTTTTAATAGTTTGATTTTCTTATTTAAATACTTTCACGGCTTGCAGATTACATTAGCCAACAGTAGGCCAATGCTCACATTGGATGAAATATTATTCGTAAGAAGAGAAAGGGCTGAGAGTTAAGAATAGAATGTTAATTAGCTCCATTCGGTTTATTTTAAATTAAATTATTTTATTTTATTTTTATTAATTGAATTAAATTTATTAATTTAAAAAATTAACGGATCGAATTTAACTTGATCGATTCAATTAATATTTTCAATAATCAAATAATAAATTATATTTAAGTTACATTATATTTTAAAATTTTAATTTATCATATTTAAAATAAATTAAATAAAATCATTTAACAAAATATTTAAATACAAAAGTATTAAATTAAAAACTCTAATAACTTATAAAATAAACTTATTTATTTTATATAGTTTTACTTTTACATTTGAGTTTTATTAGATCTTAGTTAAAATTTCAATTAATTTAATTTTTGAATCAAATTAATCAAAAAAATATTTTAATTATTTTTAATAATAAAATAAAATTAATTCGATAATCAACTAATTAATCAAATTATATCAATTTGAGTAGTTTATTCCGTTAAAATCAAAATTTGAACCCTAGTTAAAGAAAAGTGTTGTGTCGTATAGTCACCTATGCTCTAACTTGACTTGTACATTGTACATAGTGATTTTGCACTGAAAATTAAAAAGAAATGAAAATCCAACTTTTGGAATATGGAAATGTAATTTGTAAATGGCAGAGATATACTAAGGAAGCGTATGCAAGTAAAAAGAAAGGAATTGAAATGACATCTTATAGTTTTGCTTGATAGGAAAGATGAAAAAAAATAAAGATAAAAAATTTATTAATCCAATAATTAAATTACAAAACAAGAAGGTGATTAAAAGACCTAATAATTAATTAGATTAATAAAATTTTCATTCTCTCCTGTTACATCTTTCTTACCAATCAAATCTTTAGTGTCCCTCCGTTCCCCCTATAATACAACTCACAATCATCACTCCAAGTATCAGTTAATGATAAATGAAAAAGAAAGATGGCAGTCGTGGTCGTTGGAAGATTAAGAATGTAAGCATTGAATCAAGCAAAGCATATAGCTTCGACTTGCCAGCAATGACCGAATATTATCATTCCTTCAAATATTGGATATTCCTCTTTCAAGTATATAGAAAAAGGCCAGCAATGACCGAAAACTCAAAACTCCCCATGCAAATATATCGACTTGCCAATAGATGCAAGGAAAGTTGATGCCATATGCTTTGCTTCCTTCGCTGCTGAATACTTCCCCCACGACTACGACGGCCAATTGAGAAAACCAGAAAAGTCTTTAGCCTATGGTAACAAATTCAAAGATTATCGAAGGAAGCCCTGCTTCAGTTTTCATACAACATCAGAAACTTAAAAGTGATGGAGAAGAAAGAAAGAAGTGATGGTGGCAGTAGCAGCTCAATTAGTTTGATAGATTTGGTGTTTTCATGGTCCATTCAAGATGTCCTCAATACAAATCTTTACAAAGCCCTGGTATTCATATACACTTGCCAACTAATTCATCATTTTGTTTAATCTTTGTAGGATACACAAACAGTAACATTTTCTTTTTTTTTTTCTCTTTATTTTTGTTGTGCTTCATTTCCTCTCGGAACTTCCTCTTTTCTTTTGCCTAAAACTATGTATGTTATATGCAATGCTGTGTTCAATAGATTTGGTAATTAAATTGTTATTAATTAAGTACTCCTGAGACATTGTTGGATTTTTCATTTTTGTGATAATTGAAATGAGCAGGTGAAGAAGATCCCTGAGACATTCAAGTCTACTGCAGAGTACTTGAACTCCTTTCTTGCTCCTCTTATTGAGGAAACGCATGCAGACTTGTTCTCAAGCATGACAAGGCTGGCTCGGGCACCATCACGTGAAGTGTTTTCTGTTGAAAGGGATAAGGATTACAAAGCGCCCAGAGACTTGTTTTATAAGATTGTTTTGAGGAGAGACTCTAATGGGAGTGATCATTTAGTAACATATCAGCCACAGACGGGAGATCTTGTTGCTTTAACAAATGTAAGACCAGACTGCATCAGCGATTTGAACGGGCCTAAATTTTCTTATCTTCTTGCATATGTCCAAGCTGTAGACAGTGATAATGTATCCATATTATCATCAAAGCCAGTCATGACTGAACAAAAGACGCTGTTGGGACAAAGATCTCAAAATATATCTCAACAGAAGCATACTCTCTTTTTTGTCTTTTTAATTAATATGACTACCAATATTCGTATATGGAAGGCTTTGCACCCGGACCTTAAAGGAGGGAACCTGAAGATGATAAACAAAGTTATTGAAATGAATGGAGCTGTAAGTAATTTGATTTCTGTAAGGTGATGTGTATTATTTCTAGCTGTGAATCCTGTGATTATGCTTATAGTCTTTTTTATTTGGCTAATCTCTCTTTCATTATCTTTCTTTGCAGGATGAAGAAGATTGTGCCATGTGCTTATATCAAAAGAACTGTGTCACAGTTCCTTCATTTAAATCTTACGGGTTAAATGACTCCCAAGAAGCTGTAATTATAAGTTGCATTAATAGTTGGTGTTGCAATCATCAAAATACTGTTAAACTCGTATGGGGTCCTCCAGGGACAGGGAAAACTAAAATAGCAGGTTTGTTGTTGTTGTCTCTTCTTAGAATGAAATGCAGGACAATTACGTGTGCTCCAACTAACATTGCGGCGTTGGAAGTGACATCTCGGCTTATGAGATTAGTTGCAGGGACACTTGAATATGACACTTACGGATTTGGAGATATAGTTTTATTTGGGAATATAGAGAGGATGAGGATTAATGATCATGAGGATCTCCTTGATGTTTTTCTCGATTATCGTGTTGAGATATTGGATAAGTGTTTTTCACCACTCTCTGGATGGAAAATAAGTTTAGTGTCAATGATAAATTTGCTTGAAGATCCTCAAGAGCAGTACGGTCGATACTTAGCAAATAGAGGGCTGGGAAACAGTGATGCGAACAATGAAATGGAAAATGAAAACTGTGATGAGAACCTCAAAGACACGAGCAGGAATCCTTGGAAAAAAGTTATCATGGAGTCCTCGAAACAGAAAGAAACCAATAAAAAACAGGTAACTCATGAAAATGAAAATCATTCAAAGCCTGAAAAAGAAGAGGATAGATATGGAGCTTCCCTGGAGAAAACCAATGCACAGGAAGCAGAAACATGTATGGATGATTCTATAACTTTAGAGGAATTTGTCAAGGAGAGATTTTCGGTCTTCAATGAGCGGTTGAAGTTTTGTACTGTAAACTTGTACACTCACTTACCAACTCAATTTATTTCATTAGAACTGGTGAAGAGCATGATGATGGCTCTGGATATGCTCAGATCCCTTGAAACTTTGTTTAATTGTTTTAATTTTGGTGATGAAGGTTTTAGGGAGGCACTTGCAGATACTGAAAAAGGAAGTGAAGTTAGTGACATGGCAAAGTTAGGAGTCATAAGACAAAACTGCCTGCAGATACTCAAATCGCTTCCTCTGTCATTTTCAGTTCCAGAGTTTACTCAAAAATTCCTCATAAATAATTTTTGTTTGGATAATGCGTGCCTGCTTTTCTGTACCGCATCAAGCTCTTCTAAATTAAGTACAGAAAGAACACGACCACTGGATTTGTTGGTTATCGATGAAGCTGCTCAACTTAAAGAATGTGAATCAACAATTCCCTTTCAACTTCCAGGTCTCCGCCATGCTGTTCTTATAGGAGATGAGCGCCAACTTCCTGCAGTGATCCACAGCAAGGTTTCGGATTCTTTCCTTCTTGCTCTTGCTTTCGACTTGTTAAGTCTTTCACATGCTGATGTTATCAATTCGTACCTTCAACAGATTTCTGGTAAGGCTAAATTTGGAAGAAGTTTGTTTGAAAGGCTTGTCTTACTAGGACAAAAGAAACAATTACTCAATGTCCAGTATAGGATGCATCCAGCTATAAGCTCATTTCCAAATAACGAATTCTATGATGGGAAAATTTTGGATGCCGCAATAGTAAAACACAGAAGCCATGAGAAGCGTTTTCTTCATGGAAACATGTATGGTGCCTACTCGTTTATCAATGTAGCCAGTGGAAAGGAGCAACTAGATCATCTGCCTGGTCGAAAAAATATGGTTGAGGTTGCTGTGGTTTGTAAGATAGTTGCTAGCCTCTTCAATGGTATTGTTTAATGAACTAGCAATAGTTTTCATATTCATTAAAGAAGTGAAAGAAAAAGACATTGAAAAAGTTTACACCAAGATGGAACATACTTTGTGGAATTATTTCAGTTTACTCTTCTATAATTGTGTTGGGGCTAATATATCTTCTTTCCTTAACAGAGTTCACTGGCACAAAACAAAGAATTTGTATTGGTGTTATATCGCCCTACAAGGCTCAAGTTCTTGCAATTCAAGAGAAGCTTGAAAAGAAATACACCGGTTATGCTGACAGTGGCTTCGCTGTTAGCATTGCCACTGTTGATGGATTTCAAGGGAATGAGAAGGATGTGGTTATCGTCTCTACTGTCAGGTGTAACATAAATGGATCAGTCGGTTTTCTGTCCAATCGCCAACGGGCAAATGTTGCATTGACACGTGCGAGGTAATTATATATCGGTCAACCATGAAAATTATTCCTATTTGTTGAGACCTTTTAGTAACTTTGCTGCCTGATCTATCTGTTCTGTAGGCATTGCCTTTGGGTATTGGGGAATGAAGCTACTTTTGTTAAAAGTAATTCTGTATGGAAGAAACTAGTTGCTGATGCAAAGAGAAGGGGTTGTTTCTTTAATGCTGATGAAGACAAACATTTGGCTGAAGCTATTGTTACTACCTTGATTGAGCTTGAACAATTTGATACCCTGCTTAGCATGGATTCTCCACTGTTTAAGAAGGCTAGATGGAGGGTATGGTGGTTTATTTTGTTTCTCATTTGTTTTAATTATTTGTGTTTTAGGCTAAAGGACAATAAGATATGACAATTTAAAACATGAAAAGATAATATAATACAAAAAAAATATGTAGGTGATATGGTTTAAAATTTTAATAAAATTCATATTTAAATTTAAAAAAATAAAAAAATGTATTTCATATTTTCGTATAAACAAAAATTATATCAATAAATTTTTATGTAAAATATTATATGAATACCTAGATTGTAATTACAGTTGCCCTTTTGAGTTCTTTAATAACTAAGCACTTGCTGTCTTTTCAAGAACAAAAAAGAGTTCTTTGATAACCAAGCACTTATTGTCTTCTTAAGAACCAAAAAAAAAAAAACTGAGTCCTGTCATCTTATTAAAACAGGTTTGCTTCAGCAATGACTTTTGGAAATCTTTGGCGAGCATCAACAACATAGAGTCATATAAGCAAATGCTTAACCTGTTAGAAAAGCTTTCAAGTGGTTGGCGTCAAACTCCCGATCAGCAGAAAAACCACATTGTGGTTGGGGGTTGTTTTGGCCTGCTGGAAGTGTATCCAGTCGATGATTCCTTGAATCTCCTTTGGAGTGTAGACATCATTAAGGAAAATTCAAACTTCATCCAAGTTTTGAAGGTTTGGGATATTTTGCCATTGATGGATATACCAAAAGCTGAAAGGAATCTACGGATCTTATTTGGAGAATACACAGAAAATAAGATTAGTCGCTGCAAATATCAGTGTCTGGAAGGGTAAGACATATTCTTCTTTTAACTCATTGGAAAGTGGATTGTTTTAAGCATGTGTTAACAATATGAGTACAGCATGATACTTTTGTCAATGTATTTTGTGTTGCCATTTGATTTTTCACACAATTTAAGTTATTAACACCTTAATAAATTTTCATTAATGAATGATCAAACGCATCCCATTTAACATTTTCTGTGACAAATGAATTTGGTTGCACAGGAATTTGGTTGTTCCAATGAAATGGGAAGTGGAGGACAGCCGCACTCAGGGTACTGGGCATGGAGATGAAAGCATGGAGAGCTCGTCAAAATATGTGCCTGAATTTGTGGAGAATGTGCATGCAAGTGGCAACATCAATTCCTTTAGTTTTTATCTCTTAGGCGTTGTTATCGTTGTCATCGCTTTCAAGTTTCTGATGTTCAAAGAAAATTGAAAGGGAGCTTCCTTCAAATATTACATATTCCTCTTCCTATAAGGCCTGTAATTGAAACAGAGCTTCCTTCAAACTCTCAAGTGTTTTTCTTCCAAGTTGTATTTTTGTGCACTCTCAACAACTAAAAAATTTTACGTTGTTTAGTCTCAACATTTTAAAGCCCTCTCAATTCAGTTCTAAAACATCATTTTACACCAATTCTTTTTATTTTAACAATAACATTTTGTAAACAAAAGAGATTAAGAGTATCATTCAACTCTCTCACAAGGGCCAAGCTAAAAAAAATTGAGGAGATAGAAAGTAGATTTGAACTGTAGTGTTTGATACGAACAAGCACGAATCGATTTTTATTATATTTAGTTAGGGTAGTAAATATTTCTATTCGGTTCTGTTTTTATTCATGAGATAAAAATTGAATTTAAGTGTATTTTTATGATTTATAATTTATATGTAAAGAAATTTAATATTTTATTTTTAAATTTATACAAATAAACTAAAAAATATAAAAAATTACAAATTACAAATTTATAATGTTTTAAAAAATTGATAAATCAAATCGATTAATTCAATTAAGATTACTTTAATTCATTAATATATTGAATACATCTATGAATTCCATTTGTAATAACGTTGAGGTTGTGAGAACTTTTCTATTAGATACAAAAATTATAGAATTATCACTAATTTTTTTTAGTTAGGTGTAATAAATCATTTATATGAATATTTTTTTTTTAAGTTTATTCTAAGTGTAAACTAAGAATTTTTAAAAAGAATAAGTTATAGTCTACATCATCAGAATTAAAAGTTTGGGAGTTGGTTACGTGCAAGGAAGGTATTAGCACTCATTGCTCAAAATTAGTAATTAATTAATTAAATGTTATTTTATTTAAACCTTAATCAAAAATAGTTTTATTATGCAAATAAATCAATTTCAATTCTTTTATTTATTTACAAAACATGATACTGCAAAAATTTTATCAAAATATCAAGCAATCATGCAATAAATATTAAATCATTTCATGAAATAAAATCATGCAATAATATATTACCATAAAAATTATTTATGCAAATATATATAACCATGCAATCAAATCGCACAAATAAACATATTAATAATCATATATCAATAATCATGCAAAAAAATATAATCATATAACTAAATATATTAATAATCATGCAATTAAATAAATCATGCCAATAAATAGATAATAATCAAGTAATTAAATATGTTAATAATCATGCAACCAAATTAAATATAATCATACAAATAAATATATTGATAATTATGTAATTAAATATATTAATAAATCACACAAATAAATATATTAATCATGCAACTATATTAATGAATCACACAAACAAATATATTAATCATGAAAATTTATTAATAAGTCACACAAATAAATATATTAATCATGTAAATAAATATATATTATCATAAAAAATTAATATAATCATGCAACAATAATATAATCATACTATTGACATGAATTAACATGCAATAATATTAAAATATAATCATGTAAATAATATACCATACAAATAATAAATATATAATCATACAATAATAAATTAATCAAGCAAATAATATATCATAAAAATATATATGTATAATATACGAAAATAACATATAAAATCAACCATAAAGGAGCAACGTACCACTAATCCAAAGATGGAATGACTTTTGCACAACTAATGACCCAAGCTAAGGTGAATGGATCCAATCAAGTTTGGCCCAAATTTGTGTTGGGTTTCACAGTTTATGGATTTGCTACTGGGAGTTGCTTGCCTTCTTCCTTGTTTTTTTTTTTTTTTTTTTAATACTTTACTTTTCATTAAACCAAAAACAAAACCACCTTTATTAATTTGCTTTTACTACATAGACAAAAGCCTGCTGCCCCACTAGCTCTTTTCATAGCAACTTAAACTCCTTTGCTTTCAGATACTTTATTCAATTCTTGATTGTTGACCTTTGTATTTGCCGAATGAAACTGTTTATGGGAAGAAATTGTTAGAAATTACTAACTGCTTCTTCTATGTTGATTCTTCCTTTTGGCTTGTTTGATGCTTCTTCGATTGCTTTCCTATTGTTTCTTCCCTTAATTCACAAACTAGGTCCTCTTTTATAGGGATTTAATCCCTTTTTAACTAGGAAATTCTACCGAATCTAGGAAATTTTCCTAAGATTCAATTTTTGTAATCTTTCCTTTTTTCATTGAATTAAGAATTATGTTTTTCCAAAATTAATTCATCATTAAATTTCACAAATTCAAACTGAATCCAAGGCAAATTAGAATCCCAAAATCTTCTAGAAAACAAATCACACGTTTTTTATCTTGTCTTCTTTTTTATTTTGGACTTCCTTTTTTTCTTTTTCTTTTTTCCTAAAAATTAAAAACAAAAACAAAATCAAGATTAAAAATCAAAGTCAAAATTCCACTTAAAAATTAAAATTAAAATTAAGAATCAAAATCTCGATTAACAATCAAAATTAAAAATTAAAGTCTCAATTAAAGTTAGAAATTAACATCAAGGTTCAAGAATTTTTGTGTTTGGGCTTTCAATTGTTGGGTCCATAATTTCGTATTAAGTCCTAATTTCATGAGTGAAGCTCATTTTATTACTGAAAAACTTCTCGGATAAAATGGAATGTCTACAGTTATTCATCTTTGTGCATTTTCTGTAAAACAAGAATTGTATAAAAATAAAATACATCCATTTTATTCGAGTCAAGAAAAGTCCAAAAAAAAATTACAAAGGCTCATCCTTGACAGAAGTTTGAAACTTTCTTTTTTTGGGAAAAATTCTCCCCCACTACTGTAGCTTTGAAATTTTTGAAAAATAAAATACTCTCCCAAAACTAAAGCTTTGAAACTTTTTGAAAAATAACATGCTTTCCCATAACTGAGGCTTTGAAACTTTGAAAAAATAAAATGAGATCATTCTTACCTTCAAAAAAACTCTCCCTGATAGAGGCATTGAAACTTTAAAAAAATCTTACCTTAGGTTAAGTCTCTACATTTCATCGAACCATCATTGATTACTTTCTAATGTCTCTTTAAAAGTATTTCAACATATGCTTTCCTTTATACTTTCTTAATGTATGCAATGAATGCAGACAATGAATGAAAAGATCTTTCAAAATTCACTTCAATTTTATGATTCAATCTTTAACTATCTTATTTTTATAAACATGCATGATGCATACAATGAATGCAATGTTTTCAACGTAATGCATGTGAAAAAATACAATGCATGCCATGCAATTCGTTTATCTTTTCAATTGTGGTAAATTAGAGGATTCTCAAAACTCTTGATTTGTCTTCTTACATTCTTTAACTCTTCAATACTTGTGGTTTTCAACATGAGCTATCATACCCTATCAAGTAATCCCATCCATTTTATCACCCAAATTCAAAGATGGGATATCATGCACTCTTAAGTAATCTCATCCACTCCTAGGATTTTATTCTAAATTATTGGGGATTAACATTCTTTCAGGCCTTGTTATTACCTTTATTACTCCCTTTCATTTTTTAAAGCAATATGGAGATCTTTCATGAATTTTTCATTTATTCATCATTATTACAATATCATAACAAACATAATGCAATTATGTATTTCCTTAATCAAAATGGAGATAAATAAGGCTATGTGAAAAGTCAAAAGGATATTTATTGAAGGCATAGATTTGGTAAATCAATAATTGAATGTGTATCAAAATATCCAAGAAAGAAAAGGATAATGGTTAATCAATAATTGAATGGGTAATAAAATATTCAAGCAACGAATATTTCAAAAATCATGAGTAAATAATCCAAAATTCTTCTTTCAAAGCCTATTTCATCAACATTCTTGACCATAGCGAGCTTTATCAAACCAACTTTGCCTTTGTGTGGTAATACTTTCATGATGTTGTTTTATCTTTACATCTAAGTTGTTTTTTTAGGTTTTCAACTTAGATGCCCTATTTTGACCCAAATTGGCCTTGTTAGGTTTTCACATTGAGTTTTCTTTTTGTTTTCTATATCTTTTTTTCTTTTTTATCTCTTTTTTTTCTCTTTTATCAAACCAACTTTGCCCTTGTGTGGAGAGACTTTCATGATGTTGTTTTATCCTTACATTTAAGCTATTTTTTAGGTTTTCAACTTAGGCCCCATTTTAACTCAAATTACTCTTGTTAGGTTTTCACCTTGAGTTTTTCTTCTTTTTTTTTTTTTATCTTTTTTCTCTTTTTTATTATTTTTTTAAGTAAAATATTTCTACATGGTATTAGAATTGGTTGGGTTTGGCAATTCATCCTCATCCATTTCAGATAGAATTAATGCACCACCAAAACAGGCTTTTTTCATCACATATGGCCTATCTTAATTTGGTGTCTATTTTCATCGATTGTCAAGCTAGTTTGGGAGCATCTTTTTTAAAACCAATTCTCTTTCTTAAAATTATTGAGGGTGAACCTTTTTGTTATGTGCTCACATCATCCTCTTCTGATACAATTGACTATGGCATAAGGCTATCATTTTTTTCTCTTTAATAAGGTTCAATTGCTCATAACAATTCTTAATCAATTATGCTTCTTCTAATTTTGCCTCTATTAGAACACTTAAGAAATGAATCTCTACTTCAATTAGCAATAGTGCTTTTATATAATAAACTAGAGAGAATGGAATAGCTTTAGTGGACATTCGCATTGAGGTCTTATAAGCATGTAGCAAAAAATAGCTTATCATGCCAATCCTTATAAGCATCAATCATTTTTTTTAAGATTCTTTTAATGTTTTTATTAGTAGCTTCTACTGCACCATTCATCTTTGGTCGATAAGGTGTAGAATTATGATGCTTGATTTTGAATTGAGCACACACTTCCTTCATCATCTTGCTATTCAAATTTTTGGATTGTCAAGGATAATTTTTTTGAAAGCCCATATCGATATTTTATCTCTTTCTTCAAGAACTTGTACACTACTGTCTTTTTGACACTTGCATATAAAGCTACT